ATCATGATATAAATGAATCCTGTATAAGACTCATTGGAGTTGAGGGTTTTCAAATATGTGAATCTTCAGTGAAATTTATATATAAATGCTCTTCAAAAGATTGTCGTCTCTGGCAATTTATATTACAAATGAAGCAGAATTTATGCAAAATCTTGTGCATGAAAAGAAGAAAACACTTTTTGTGGCCTTCAGCTCAACATTTAGATATATCGACGACGTATTGTTTATTAACAATGGTAATTCCCATGCTAATGTCGATACGATATATCCTGGTGAGCTTGAGGTAAAAGATACCAAAGAGTCTGACACATCTGTTTCATATTTGGATATATTACTTGAAAAAGACGTTAATGGTAATCTAACAACTAAGCTCTATCATAAACATGATGTTTTTAACTTTTCTATCGTCAATTTCCCTTATTTTTGCGGTATCTTCATCACCTGCATACGCTATTATATATCTCAGCTGATTTGATACTTAAGAGCATACTCTACGTATGAACAATTTCTAAAACGAGGTAAATTATTGACAAACAAGTTGATGAAACAAGACTATCAGAAGTCTCGTTTAAAGTCATCATTTCGTAAGTTATATGGTCGATGCAATGAGCCTTGTCAGCAAATACAATTTATCATTGAATCAAATGCTGACCGACGTTTTTCATAATAATTGTTAGTCCATTATTTATACACTGAATTGACGACGGATTTTCCCGTTATTTCCTGATCATGGCAAGGAGCTGTTGTGAGCGGTCGGCAGGGGATGCTCACTCCTTCATGGCACCTGATCCCACCTAAAATATTTAGCATTTTTCTCTGAATACACCTGTCCAACCATACATGCAGCTCTTGAAGGGTGGACAATTTTTACTCTTACTCACTGTTATTGTTATGCAGTAACTTTTTGAAATCTTTTCAATACTTCGTTTTCCATTTTGCCTTATGGTATTCCTGAAGATGGCCATTAGACAGAAAAAAGTGACGTTTTCTTCTGCTTCCCTCATTTCAGAGAGCATTTTTAATCACCCTTATTAATTGTACTATGAAAAACTAGAGGTACTGTGAGCAAGAGGTCACAAAATGATACCCCGCTTCCCATATTATTAAAATGACAAATGCCTTGTTTTGCTTTCGGAGACCCTAAATAAGTGTCATCTAAGAGATGGGTACCCTTCAGTACTATAGAACAAATGGCAGTGTCGATGTTTTGCTAATGGTCACCCTTAATACATATGTATGTGTAAGTTTAAAAAATATGATCTGAACAATGGCTCTGTGTAACAAAGAATCTGTGACAGTCTTATTAAAGTTCAATCATTGGTATGGGAGGGGTTGTGGATAAGAGATGGGTACCTCAAAGCGTTCAGACGGACGGACGGACACCCCCATCACTTTATACCCCCTGCTTTTCAAGCGAAGGGTATAATGAAAGGAGAAAATCTAGCCATTGTGGTCAAAGCAAGAATTAAAAATGATAAAAATTTGGAAAGTCTGGAAATGAATAACAGTCTTATTCCTAGTAAAAACGATATTTTTCTGGCTCTTAAAAGTTAAGATTTTATATCTACATAGTAGTTTGTTTTATAGATATTACATATAGAAAACAAAACAAGAAGTACACAGTTCAAATTTTGGTCATCTTTATTCTAATAAAGTCCATATCAAAATCTATGTGAATCAATTGTTCTCTTCTGACCTCGTTATAATAGGTAACATTGAAGTTCCACACAATACTGTGAACACGAAGTTCTCTAACGAGTTGTTTCATGTCAGGAAAGCATTTATCATCAGCATCATTATAAAAAGAGTGATACAGAGGTTTAATTAAATACATGTATAATAACTAATGAGGGCTCAGATTATATAATATCTAAAATTACGTTTTACGTCTTTCAAAAAAGTATCAAGAAGCAACTGCTTTTGAGACTATTTTGCTCTTTTAAGAAGGCTGGGGGTCAACAAATTAACCATCAGATATATTTTTTTTAGATATTACATCCTAAAACTATCATTTGGCAAAGAAAAATTTAATACATTTTAGTTTTAAAATTTGGTGGAGCTCTTAACTTCTAAAGTAGACCAATGTAGTCTAGATATGTCTACAACCACCCAGCCCTCTTATGTATGAAGGAATAAACAAACATCTATTTTTAAATTATTGAAAATGATACGACTTTTAGGTTACATATATAGTATAAAATTTCCTGAATATTCAAACGGATGGTTTAATGCTAATGCATTGCAACAAATATAATTAATATAATTCAATATATAATTGATTGTATATTGTTGAACGTCTCTCTCGAGAATTTTTCACTCATATGGAGAAGCCACCACTTGCCAGCACTAAGGGCCATTGAGCAGGGAGGGATCTTTTTCGTGCCAGCACCTACTGCGACACGGGACCTCGGTTTATAAGGTCTCATCCGAATGTTTTTTTAAAGTTGGAAATATAAAATGTAAGCATTTTCTTGCCTATTAAGAAGGAAAAATAATAATAAAAGAATAAATATATGGCCTAATTTATTGCATGATCTGCCCTAATTTGATTTGTAAGTCACAACTTATTTTTTCCTCTATTTTTGATCAGGTTAAGTTAAGCAAATCAATAACCAGAAAAATTAAAACACGGTTTCAATACCTTTAGGGAATCTGACTCATTTCATCATTTGGGTGGATGTATCAACTAAATGATAACATCATCAACGAAGTGATTAAGGCCAGATATTAATTATTCAATAATTATCAAGAGTAAATGATCATTTTCAATAAGAAGTATTTTAAATTAATTGCTTTTGTATTTGTCCTTCATTCTAATCATTTTCTTTTTGATCAACCAGTGTAAAATAAGGATTTCAACATAGCTTAATTAAGAATCGAAATGCGGTCAGCCTGTAGGACTAAATTGATACAAACAGTATTTTTAAGTAATTATTGGAAAACCAATAATCATCATTTTGCGACACACTAGCAACACAGATCAAAGCAGTCACAGCTACTTGTCTACAAATATATGTTTGGGGGAAAATTAAGTGTACATTTCATTATCACTTTACCTCCATTTTACAAAATAAATGTAGCAAAGTTATCTTTGTGATTCAAAATAACATTGTTTCAAAACAATATTGTTTTAAAGCATTAATGAAAGTGTATAAATGTTCTATCATATATTAATTATTGTGTAAGAGATTGCACTTGCTTCCATATCATCTGGTCATCACTATACCTGATGCATAGTTCATGGAGATTGTTATGTAGACTAAAAGTCCAATGAAAGAATACAATTCAGAAACAAAGCAAACATGGACCTCTTCAAAATCAAAAATGGGATCAGGTGCCATGAATGATTAAACATCCTCTGTCGTGTGCTCCTTGTCATAGTCGGAAAAACCCGTAGACGATTCAGTATGAAAGTAGTACTTCACAATAATGACCTTAACAATTTGTTTGTTGGTGCCGTATATCAGATTTACATGAAAAACATCAGTCAACATTTTGATTGAATAAAGATTATATTTGTTATTAGTTATGAGGATTTGTTTTTATTCTGTATATTTTTTTCACGTCTATATCTGCATGTATAACATATTTGTGGATGCATCAATCTGAAATTGTGCTCACTTTAATGTTTTGAATCGTTCTTGTCCAAATCTGATATTGCCATAAGTTTATTCGTTCTTAAGTGTAAGAGATTTGTACTCGCCCAAATTTGACTTTATGATCAGATATTATCTGCAGGAGCTTAAAGAGATATTTTAACAAACTTTGAAAAAACGTCCGTCCTCCAAGGATGTAGATGGGAGAAAAGGCAGAGTTACGCACAGCGTGGTCGGAATTTTATTTGTTAGATTTTGATTGGTCAATCTCTGCCTCTCCTAAGGCATGAAACAAAATGATCGTTATAAAACACAGCTATGCAATATTTCAGACTTTCACATTCAAGGAGGACACTTATTGATTATAATAAAAAATATTTAAGTAAACTTAAATTTATTTATTTCAAGTTTGATTCAGACTTCCAATTGCCCTGCATATTTTAAAATAATCATCAAACATCACAAAACACTTACTCTTGTAGCTAAGCTACGAATCCCTTTTGGGGTTTTATATCATGGTTCTGTGGGAGAAATTAATAATTTTACACGGAATGTTTCTCTTTGAACTTCAAATCAATTGCCCTGCAGTGCCAAATACAACTGTTTACCTGCAAAAACAATGTTCAACAACTCTCGTATATTCGACTATATTTGTATAAATCAATCAATGTAGCTTTGATAAAGGGAAGAAAAAAGATTTGCTTAATATAAATGCTTTAAACTTATCAGTGACTCAAACCATATCTAGAAAATTTAAAGCTAAATGTCTCTGAAAAATGAAAGCAAGATTTTTTTTTGCATTTATGTAGCTCCATTAAAAAATAGTTTAGATATAGAATCACACTGATTTTGAGCAAAATAAAAAAGTTTATCTTTTTCTTCTTCCGAAGGCCCAAATTGGACTAAAGAATTTTTTTATGCTTCTTGTATCTTTTTTTTCCGGTTGAGCCAATGTGCAATGTGAAAAATAAAAATACAGGAACTTGTCAAATATATAACATTAAGAATTCAAAACTTCAAATGTCGGCAATTCTTCTGCATGGTCTACATATACCACATGCAACTAAGTGAATAATGTTTGTATAGTAATTTATTACCTAAGAGAACTTTGAAATATTTTTCTTTTCATTAGTGAAAAACCTTGCTTATATTTATTGTTTTGTACGTTGAATTGTTCGTTTGAGTCTTGTCTATGATAAAAATGTTATTCTCACCACCTTCTAATGCCATACTTTATTTTTAGATGCGCCAAAAGAATACAATTCACACCGAGTGTTCGACTGTAAGTTCTGATCTTCACCGGATCAAATCTCTTGTCCGCATTCCTCCTATACCACTGAATAAGATTTAATGATAACATACTTTCACATATTCTTTATTTTTGTGACATTTATTGTCTCCCAGAAAACCGCACTGGCAAATGTTACGAAGGTGGTCTCTGCTGTATACATAGTTTGTTATACACCTTTTTTGGTAAGTTAACAATAGTTTAGTTTCATAATCGTAAAGGCAAAATTAAACGTAATTTCTTAGTTTATGGACCTTTCAAGTTTAAGCTATTCTAGTTTTAAAATATGTACGAGCTAGTCGATTTAAATTCTAAATATAATCTGTAACTAATAAATTGTGTAGATAGCCTAAAGATACGAAAGAAATGTAACAAGAAAACAAAGCGGGAGATGATGGAAACAGAACTTAGAAACGTGGGTAAATAACAAAAGTCCAAAACCTTGATATTCACATAAAAACCTTCATCTTTTAAATTTGACCTTGTACAATACAAATTGAAAACAAAAATGCTTCGAGTTTGTTGGCAATTGCAACTTTTGAGTTGCTAAATTGGACATAATCTGACAGATCGATGTTGTAAACTGATATCCCTTAGTCATGCAACCAAAAACATTAAGAGAAACCTGGCAAAACATAGTCAACAACGATATGTGTTATACGTCCTTTTTACATTAGCTAACCATTTAGGTTTTTCTAATGATAGTAAGGGAACTGACCTGTTGACTAATGAACTGTTATTCGGTGAAATATCTAAAGGGGTGTGGTAATAAGAGGGGAATTTTTCCTTAAATAAATCTTACTGTTGTATAACAGCTAAAGTAACTGTAACTGTAACGTAAAGTAAATGTCTATAGCTTGCGGTAGTTATTGTTTTTCTTCCCTCTTATATAGAGTTTTTGTCCGGTACAGCTTTTGTGGCATTAGTTTCTGTTAGTCAACTTATTTTAGTATTAAGGTATATATAAAAACAAACGAAGACTTGCATATAAAACAGTGATGCATTAAAATAAGTAAATCCTCATTATGGTAAAATAAAATGCATTTTTACTTTAAAAAAAAGAAAGAATTAAAAGATTTAACTACTTAGTCTTCTACTGTAAACATGAGAGAAGAAAATGTACGATACAAAGGAAAGATATTTTAATATATATATACATTAATGTTAAATGGATATCATGTAAATTATCAATATTAAATAAGATTGATGATAAACAATCAACTAGGTCACATTAACGAAGCGTTTACTCATTAGTCAGTTCCTTATAAAATTTAATAAGGAAATATTTTTTTTAACACGAGAAAGAATTATTTTTGCAAAGTCGTGATGAATTCAAGTTTCTTAGAGTCAACTTCCCTCACTAATGACGCTTTATACCATAAACACCAGCATTTGGTGATTATGTCTCCTTAATAATTTGATACTAGTACGCAAGAGCATGTTCTACCAACGATCGATTTCTACAGACAAATCAGCTGATGTTACAAAGATATCATCAATCATGTCATAATTGTTGAAGCTACTGGGATTTTGCCATTATCTGCATTTCCAAAGATGCTTTACATTTATTTGATAATATACATATAAAGTATTTGATCACCTGCTTTCAGATGCGTGTGATGTATGACGTCTCTATAAATTCCCCGGACCAGAACAAAACCTACCACCACATTACGATGGTGCTGCTGTTCCTTAGTCCGTTACTGAATCCTCTGATTTACGTAGGCTGTAACAGACGCTACAGGGAGTATCTTCTGGGGAGCTTTCGGAAATTGTTGTCAAAGATAAAACCGCAGTTACCTAACGACTACTCTGTGGAAGGCGATACAGTTGTTACTATCGAGAACAGTGAACCTGCAGGCGCGGCCAACACGAACACGACAACCGTCTGACCAACCCTTAATTCAATTCATTTTAGTTCTGTTTTTGATTGAATATCTATAAATGTTTTGATCTTTTTTCCCAACAAAATGTTTCAGTATATTCAGTAAAATCTCAAATTGTTAAGGAATGGCTGTTCTGTTCAGTAAAACCTCAGATTGTTAGAGAATGGCTGTTCTGTTATCAACATATGCTACTCAAATGCAACAATACTATTTCTAACCCTATATTTATGAATATTGGACAGTTCACATTTAAGAGTGAGTAAATGAAACCGCCGAGAGGCAACTTCATGCAGTGTTAAACGCTACTTGGATTTGTATTTATAATTTGTATTTTAAAAGATTTTACACATACATGAATCTAATTTTCATGGAAGAATCAAAATGGAGAGAGTTATTAGAATTAAATATTACAGTGTGGCTTCCATTGGCTTGTGACAGTGCCTTTAATCAACTCTCGTAGTTGGGCATTAAGCTAAGCTAGCTAGCACTGACAACTTAATAAAATGCTTGAATAAATTATTTTTTAAATATGGAGAATCTTTTTTATCAGTGGAAAAGTTAAATATAATAAAACAACCCCTAGAAATTTCAGAGGTGGATACGTACCAAGGAGTAGTAAGCGTCCCCTATTGACCGCATTCACGTCTGTTGTGAGCTCTGTATATTGATGAGGTGAATAGAAAATTCCGTAGTCAAAATTAATCATAAAAACTAAGGCAAATTAATGGTTATGACCTTATAATGGATTTCATTTGTTTTCAAGGTAATTATAATGACCACTGGTATAAGGAAATGCTGACTTGAACTTGGTTGTTGAAATACCTGTGATATTAACTTATTTGTCAGTATCCGTCTATAAAATGATCATACTCAGAACAAGCTCTAGAGTCTCAGGTAAGTTGGAGGACAGAAACACCATTTGTAGGTAAATCAATGTTATCATTTCCCGAGTTCATTGGCCGATACAATAACTTTCTATGCAAAAATAATCTTTCATTAAGTCCAATGCTTACTGTCTCTTTCATATACCAATTGTTAGTCCACTAGATACATACTGAATTGTCTAGACTTTTTTCCGATTGTCGGTTCTTGACTACGAGAACATAAAGGCTGTAGACTGCTCGATAAGGGATTTCTCCTCCTTTAGATCACCTGATCCCATCCTTGATGTTTTAGAGATCCCTTCTTGCTCAGTGTATTTTGTGTTATAGCTTAATAAATTCGTGTTACAAACAATTTTGATTTGCACATACTTTTATGAGCAATGTTTCCCCATACGCCATTAGGTTTACCTATTAAAATGAAAGCATCAATTTTTGTTTCTTTTTAATCTTTTTTTCATTCATAAATTAAAATTTCTTTAGTATAATTTATTTTTACTTATAAACAAAAATGGACTTCTATGATAAAAAGTGACGATGATTCCTAGTCTTTTGCTTGAGCAAGGGTGAAATATATTGGATGATTTGGGTTTTTTTTTTTAAGAAACTGTAAAGTTAGATAATATACACATTAAGTAAAATGATCAAATATTAGCTGGTTCAGTCATAATATGTAGAACTAAATTCAAACCACACATTTCCGTGTATAATTTCCATAGGAAACAAAACATAAACTGTCATTGAACAAAGGAAACGAAAGAATCTTTGTCAAATAGATTAATGTATAACGTTCTAGAAAGTTCATCTTATTCCATGGTTATTGACATGAACTTTTTGATTTAATTGAAAAAGATACAGCTTTTTGCAAATTATAAGGCATGTTACAGGGAGATTCCAATACTGATCTCTATGATAATAATGTTTCAATTCCCCTTCGCATTCAAGATACAAACAAATCATCGGTCACCATAATTGAAATCCAAACAAGATTTTTATTGATAGTCTGTGTGCTAAGGATGAGTGACCCTCTGTTTATGATACCTGAAATGAAAACATTAATGTCTTCATCTTTATTTCGAGGCATACAATAAAAACATATCAGGACATATGCATATAAAATAACATGTATTGGCTTACCTATCAATAGGGCTGCGAAATATTTACGTCCAAATTCCGGTATATTGCGATTCACCTAACAAACCAGAAGTCTCTGTCGAGACTGAAGCTCTACTGGTTTGTACTTGTAGCAAAGGAAGAGAAAAGTACTTAAGCAGTTGGGAATTGAAACTTTACAACAGCAATAAATAGAATAATGATCATTGATAAGGTCTTCTTATGTTCTTAAGTGTTTACTACTTGTGTGCCAAGTTATATTGAAATCAGACCAAAACTGTAGGAGGAGTAGCATTTTGAAACAATTTCACAGAAATTTCTATTTTTAGTAACCACGGCAACACCGTTTATCAAAATTAAAAACCGATATACAGAATTATGTATCTTAGTGTAGTCTACTTGTGTGCCAAGTTATATTGAAATCAGACCAAAACTGTAAGAGGAGTAGCATTTTGAAAGAATTTCACAGAAATTTCTATTTTTAGTAACCAAGGCAACACCGTTTATCGAAATAAAAAAACCGATATACAGAATTATGTATCTTAGTGTAGTCTACTTGTGTGCCAAGTTATATTGAAATCAGACCAAAACTGTAAGAGGAATAGCATTTTGAAAGAATTTCACAGAAATTTCTATTTTTAGTAACCATGGCAACACCGTTTATCGAAATCAAAAACCGATACACAGAATTATGTATCTTAGTGTAGTCTACTTGTGTGCCAAGTTATATTGAAATCAGACCAAAACTGTAGGAGGAGTAGCATTTTGAAAGAATTTCACAGAAATTTCTATTTTTAGTAACAACGCCAACACCGTTCGTCGAAATCAAAAACCGATACACAGAATTATGTATCTTAGTGTAGTCTACTTGTGTGCCAAGTTATATTGAAATCAGACCAAAACTGTAGGAGGAGTAGCATTTTGAAAGAATTTCACAGAAATTTCTATTTTTAGTAACAACGCCAACACCGTTTCTCGAAATCAAAATCCGATGCTCAGAATTATGTAACTTAGTGTAGTCTACTTGTGTGCCAAATTATATTGAAATCAGACCAAAACTGTAAGAGGAGTAGCATTTTGAAAGAATTTCACAGAAATTTCTATTTTTAGTAACCATGGCAACACCGTTCATCGAAATCAAAAACCGATACACAGAATTATGTATCTTAGTGTAGTCTACTTGTGTGCCAAGTTATATTGAAATCAGACCAAAACTGTAGGAGGAGTAGCATTTTGAAAGAATTTCACAGAAATTTCTATTTTTAGTAACAACGCCAACACCGTTCGTCGAAATCAAAAACCGATACAAAGAATTATGTATCTTAGTGTAGTCTATTTGTGTGCCAAGTTATATTGAAATCAGACCAAAACTGTAGGAGGAGTAGCATTTTGAAAGAATTTCACAGAAATTTCTATTTTTAGTAACAACGCCAACACCGTTTATCGAAATCAAAAACCGATACACAAAATTATGTATCTTAGTGTAGTCTACTTGTGTGCAAAGTTATATTGAAATTAGACCAAAACTGTAGGAGGAGTAGCATTTTGAAAAATTGTTTACAGACAGACAGACGGACAGACGGACGGACGCCGGACGCATTACTATCGCATAAGCTCTTCTGGTCTCTGACCAGTAGAGCTAAAAATATCGTATTGCAATACGTTTTTCCATTACCGACATACCGGCAAAATGCTTGGGCTTTAGATTTCTTAAGAAAGATATGAAAACTAATATTTCAGAAACATGTTCAACAATTGCCAAACAGTTCGAAACGGAACGGAAAGACTGCTGTTGTATAGATACATTTTGTTCAATAACTGCAGTGAAAATCAACAAAATAGTCTTGTAACAATGTATTTATAATAGTTTTACAGACGTTGCTTATAGGTAGAGGTTAATAAAATAAGAAAAGAGAGCATATTAACTGTCTTTTAAAATATTGCAATACAAATCGAAATACAGATGAAAATATATTGCGATATATCGCAATACGAAATTACCAGTCGATACTCATGACAATGAGCTCATAGTGAGGATGGACAGATATTTACTCTATCATGGTACGTGATCCTATCTTTGATGTTTAACGGCTCCGTGTATGCTCTCCTCCCAATTTCTATTATTTCATTTCAATGGATTTTTTTTAACTTGATTACTGTTTATTATATCTATATATTATTTTAAAATATTTTAAAAAATAATCAAGCACTGTTTCCTAAGTCAAAATATTACAATGTTATTAGTTATTCACCCATAAGCAATAATATTTTTCTTGGTTATTTTTCTATGTAAAAATAGGAAAAGTACCAAAGTTTCTATTACCCTGCTTAATACACGTTACATTTACTTTGAAAAATCTATGGTTGTAAAGTAGTAAGCAAAAATAAAGCATAACTGGGTTTGCATTTTTTGCATGGCGTTTTTACGGAAGCGTATTAGGGCCGTAGAAGTATATCTTATTAATTTGTTTCAACAAATTTTCAAATACGTATTTATTGTAACAAATTAGGAATCTGTAATAAATCAGGCATCTATGTGACTTATAAAATTTAGGCGCCCAATGGTTCCTTATCAAAAAGATTTAGTCACCAATACAAAGTTATAGTCGCCAGACAAATGTTCCTAGGCGCCATGCAATTAAGAATGTAAAAACTGATATTAGTCAATATAAAGAGACATGTCCATTGTTAACTTTTAAACTTTACTGTTCTGCTTTTTATGAAAAAAAAATTTAAAATGTTTTAGTTCAGTAATTTGACGACTAGAAAGTCAACTTAAAATAATAACTCGTTATCAAAGACCTATGTATATAATAAACAAATGCTACGTATTTAAGTTTAATGTTTTATTCGAGTTGGCAGGTATTGTCCACAGTGGTCTACACAACAGTGGGGCAGCCGGCAAAATGGCATACCCCCAACATCAATATAAGTTGTGCCCTCCCTGACGGGAAAAGTAGCACGCTGGGTTGACCTCAATCGTGCTACGGACACATTTCAACACAAATTATCTTTTATAATTATATTATTTTGCTTTAGCTTTAAATTGTATAAGATATAATTTTCAAAGTCAACATCACATATATCAACATCAACCATCACATATATCAACATCAACCACAAAAAA